CTTCACAAAAACTGTAATGGGAAAGATTTAGGGTGCATTGACACAACTTTCTGTACACCAACAATGTTCCAATCCCCTTTCCATTTGACACCTAATTCCAGCTTCTATTGGCTGGGAACTGGCCAATGGGATTGTGCTGGGGTTGGGGGTAGCACATGAAGCCTCTTTCTCTTCCCTGCGGCTCACAGCTGTTCAAACAGAGCCCCGCAAGAGCCACTTTTCTCAGCAGCGTTTGGGGGGCAGGCAGGTAGTCTGCCCAATGTTCCCTGCTGTGACCACAGGCTGGATCCGGCCCGCAAAGTGTATTTTCCCAAAGCCTGGTTTAGGAGGAGTTCTTGAACAGACAGACACACAGATTATCTGAAATATATAGTAAATGACAGCAGTGGTTTATGGTATGGGAGGGATCATTAAGACTTACATAAATTGATGCAAGCAGTTACAAAACACTATTCTCTCTTCTTTTATTTATCAAATTAATGTGGAGTCAGTAAATTAGGTGTCAAATGTAAAGGGGATTGGAACATTGTTGGTGTACAGAAAGTTGTGTCAACGTACCCTAAATCTTTCCCATTACAATTTTATAGCCTTCTGATAAACTCTTTCCTTGAAACCAAGAGGACTCAAGGACACCTGTCTGTCAACATCTTTCCATGGATTGTTGCTTGAAATGAGGTAAGTTGTAGCCGAGAGATTTCCCATGCTGAGAGAGTGAGGTGTTTGGGTTCATAGGAAATACACTAGCCATCTCTCTGTAGAACAGGGGTCAGCAATAATTTTTCCCTGGGGGCCACTTCAAACATTTTTTAAGTAGCCCCGGGCCACTCTGGAAGGGGCGGGGCCTAAAGAGGAAGGGGCAGGGCTACCCACCACCAGACCATGATGAGTCTGGGAGGGGGGGAGCCCCTCTGCCCCCTCTTCCCACTAGGCACCCATGCCCTAGAAGAGGTTTGCAAATGCCCCCGTTGGCATCTCTTAATCCTCGTGACTGCAAGAAGTACCAGCATCTACCAGAGCTGCTAAATCAAATGCCAGAAGATTGATCTCCAGCACGGAAAGTGAAGATGTACCGAAGGAAAGAGAGTATAGCATTTAGGACAACTTTTCTGTTTGTATAAATCAGTTTTTACCAGCAAGTGTATTCCTTATCCCTTTCTGCAGGAGAACTTTCCTGGAATATATGAATTTAAATCTAAGGCCCTGACCATGTTGACTTCATGGTTGGGCCATAGATATACACTGATTTTAGGGACCAGTCTTTATGCAGTCATTTTCAGGATCAAAAAAATTGTAAAGTCATGTGTTGAGCCTCCAAGGATACAGAAAGCATAATACTGATTATACTTCAGTAAGGATGCAAATATTTGTACAAAACCCAACATTATAAATAATATTACTTTTTTGGCAGAAATCAACACACAGCCCAATTTTGTGTTGCATAAAACATAAGCATCTCAACCTTAACTTTGAATGGATATTTGCTGGCTTTTGAAACAATTCAATCACTTTTGTGTGCTTCTTCCAATTTTTTTTTCCATCTACGAAGCTTAGTGTCAAAGTGCCCAAACAGTTTAGTGCCAAGATTTGGATTTTAGAGTTATTTTGGTTTCTTTTTAAATGAATATATTTGAATTTAATTTATTCTTAATTTCAGCAAATGGATTCTTTACTGGGGAAAGAAAGGAGACAGTAGGTAGAGCAGGGAAGAGTCCTAAACATTCTTCTGTGTGGTAATTCAAACACAACAGCTATTATGCTAGTGCTCAAAACACAAAAAGAAAACTGATCAGTTTAGTCCAGTTCAAGATAAGGAAGTACAAAAAGTAAATAGTATAAGTGGAGTAAATTAGTAATGCAAGCTGTTACCATCATTTTTTTTATTTATGCTGACTCTCTTCACAATGCCCTTTGAAGTTTTAAAAAAGAAACAGGAAAGAAAACATTGTCTAGATTATAACTTAATTTGCCCTTAGAGCCTGCAGCAGTTCTGAAAAAGGATGGTCTTGTGTAAACTGATATGCATATTTAAGCTTTCGTGGTCTCTTAGGGTGGGTCTAGACTACAGGGTTTGTTCGAAAAAAGTGGCCTTTTTTCAAAAAAACTTCCCCTGCGTCTAGGCTGCTGCCGCATTCTTTCAAAAGTAAATCGAAATAACAGTTTTTTTGATCATGGAAAACCTCATTTTACGAGGAAGAATGCCTTTTTTCAAAAGTCCTCTTTTGAAAAAAGGTGCTATGTAATACAAACTGCTTTTTCAAAAGAGAGCATCCAGACTGCCTGGGTGCTCTCTTGCAAAAAAGAACCTTGCTTTTTCAAAAGTACTGGTTGTAGTCTAGACTCTCTTTTTCGAAAGAGGCTTTTTCAAAAGTATCTTTCGAAAAAGCCTCTTTTGAAAGAGGCTTGCAGTCTAGACATAGCCTTACTGTCAGACTTGGAGTTAGGCCACTCTGTCCAACAGAATTGCTTGGCTTTCTCTTTATACTTCCTGTTGCCCCCCTGCACTTTCAGCAGGGACAGACCTGGCTTGGCTCTGCCCACCAGGGGCAGAGAAGTAGTCCTTTATTGTCAGGGTCAGATGAGGCATCTCTGCCTCACTATAGGCATTATTCAATACTTATTTTCCTGGTTAAATATTTTTTATTGTGTTGCACTGTAAAAGTATGCAACAAAATAAAAAGCAATAAACTCTAATAGCTCTGAAGAGCTCAGTCTGTAGATATTTTGATAAAGACCATTATTATAAGGGGTTTTATATATGTATGTAGCATTTAAGGGACAGATTGGGCCAAAATAGCTACATATTTTCATACTCATATTAATTTGGAAAACCTGAATAATTATTAGTGCATAAATTTAGAGGTAGAATCCATTAATTAAATGTGTCTCATACCCACAAATAAATCCAAAGTCCATTAAGGTCAATGGAAGGGACTCCACTTGAGTGGAAAATTAGCAGAGTTACTGGAGGAAGTGCTGAGGAGTATTCTCCCACAGATCATGGAGCAGTAGCCGACTTCTGATTCAGAGTTTATTGTAATCTAATAGCCAAAGTTGCTTCTGCATGTCTCACTTTTAGGGTATGTCTAGATTGGAAATTAAGGTGTGACTGTAGCATAGCTTTAATCTATCTAGCACAGGAAACAATACCAATGTAGATGTAGGGGCATGGGCTTTAGCACAGGCGAGGAACCAGAGTATAGTCCCTACATTGTACAGTGGTCCAGCATCCGATGGTCCGGCACTTCTGATGGTCTGGCAGATCGCCCAAACCCAGCTCTTCCGGGTTGTAATCTACTCACCACAGGCGAGTAGATTGCATTATTTGTCGCGCCCTGGCCATAACTAATAATGCACAATAAGGTTAACTGTGTTTATAGCTGAGCAGTCCAAGTGCAAACGAAGGGCTAAAATTATTAGCAGCTGTATTTGAATCAGGAGTTTGTTTCTGGTTCCAGGGAATAAAGTGGAAAATTTGGGTATGGAAGGGCTAGGAAACATACACTTAGGAAATCATGAGACAACATTAGTCAACTCTCTGAACATGAATGTGGTGACCTGGGCTCCCACTACATCCACATTGCTAAGTAACTGGGCTTGAATCTGCTCCAGAACAGGACTCAGGTTGGACCCATACCCCTAAGACTTTTGGCCTGAATCCTGAGAGGTTTCTTGTGCATTTCAGAAGACTTTATTTGTGGACAATAGGTGAATTTGGGCTTATACGTGAATCTAAATCCAGGTGTTCTTTGTAGTACAGACATACCCCTTTGAAATATTTGGGTACTCTGGTTGCTAGTCTTTGCTGAAGCTCTATCAGAAAGAGGCAGCAAGCGGGGGAAGGCGAGAGGGTGCTGGGGGGAGCCGGCTTAAAAGCCAGTTCCCTCTAGCTCCATGGAAGGGGGCAAGGGTACAGCAGTGATGTTCCAACTTTGAAATGAACAAGAGTCCCTGCTGGGGCTCTTGTACATTTCAAAGGCAGAATGCTACTCAAGTCCTTATAGACTAATCAAATAGACGATGGAAATCCCATCGACTATTCAATTAGTTAATGGAAATTTAAGATCCCTAGTCCACAGAGCATTTCCTGGTTGTCCACCATCAAATGGCTTTTTGTTCTCCTGCTTGTTTCCAGCTAAATGAAAACAGTTAAAATTACATTAACTATTTTTCTAATATTACATTTCTATGTTAGCAATAGCTGTAATTGCTATGGGGATGTAATGTGATCTGGAAGTGGAGAGGAAGTGGTTTAGATTATCATGAAGGGAAGGTGGTTCATGCATTTGTGAATCTAAGAGAAAGAAATACATAAGAGAGTCTGGTAATGGCCCTTCCATGAAAAAGTTTGAGAGATTGAGTAGTAAAGTGTATGCTTTTCCTTTAAAAAAAAGATTCTGAGTGTGTGTCTGAGAGTTCTGGCAACATTCTATCAGGGTGCACCCTGGCAACTAAGCAGAAGTTGGGAAAAGTCTTTAGAAAAAAACAGATGAGGTAACAGGGTGGGAGGGATGGGGGAAAGCTGGAGAAGAGGCCTTTGGGCAGAGTGTGAAGATGATGGATACAGTGAGGATTAGTGGACATGAAAAGGACACAAAGTAACCACAAGAAAAGTAAAGTAAAGAAATTAAAAACTAAGTGCAGAGTCAGGTCACATGAAGAAAAAAAACAGAAATAAGAAAGGAAAATTAATAATTAATTTGGAGTCAACTGGGAAAATAATATCCCAAAAAATAAGATACAAGAATAAACAACAGGAGCAACCACTGCAAGTTCTTGGTGGATTAATAATGCTTCACTATCTAAAAGAACTAAGAAATCAACAAAGAAAGCTGAATTTCTTTTAATTCAGGTATTTTAATTTCGGATAACACCTGAAGAATATTGTTCCACATTTTCTGGACTGGCTGTTTGGTGCCCAGTGTAGATTGGAGGGAGGACATAAATAGACTGCAAAGAAAGCAGCAAGTCACATTGTTATAGTTCCTTGGGCCACTGGAGTCCTGAGGAAGCACCTTACAGCAGCTGCAGTTCTAAAGGGAGTCCCATATACTTCTCTTTGAGCAGAATTATGACATAAGGCACTGCAAGCAGAAGGTTGGTGACAAGCACAATGATAAATCAGAAAGGCTTTCAGGACTCTGAGAGATATGAGACATTAGGGATAATTATTAAAATAGTGATTTCATTTTAAAAACATTAACTGCTAACGGAAAAGCTTTCTCCCAATGTAGTTAATAAATATCCTGTGCATTTATTTATATAGCACTTTCCATCTAAGGATTTTAAAGTATTTTACATACATTAATGCGCTAAGCATCACAAGACCCCTAAATTAGATCTCATCTTCAGCACTTTACAGATGAGGCTAAAGCAGAAAAGATGATTACTGACTTGCCTAAGGTCACACAAGACATCAGGTCAGAATCAGGAACAGAGCCAAAAGCATCAGGCTTACTGTTCTGTACTTTTGCTGCAATAACTACTGCTTATTTAAATTACACTGAAAGGGTTCCAGTCTGCCTTCAATAGAGAACTTGTGAAATGGAAGCGTGGCAATCCTGTAATTTGTAACGACAATTTCATTTAATACATTTAATGTATTTTCCAAAAGTAATTTTCCATAGATGTTTGCACTGATCACTTAGTCAAATTTATTGCTTATTAGGGTGAGAAACCCTATAAGGGTTTTCAGATTTTTAGAAATGAGATTAAGCATCAACCCACCATTCTCCAAATACGTTCAAGGACATTTTTCCATATTCAGGTAAATCTGATAATAAAGGTGGCCTACTTACAGTAAAATTGCTCCAGGATATAGAGAAAAGCAAGCACAGATGAATAGGTTGGAAACTGTAGCATCTGGAACCATTTTATGCCTCATCTATCAACCTGCATTTATGGGAATTGAGAATTAACATTTCAAATCACACTTCCTTACTTCATGACCGATGAATCCCAGATCTGAGGTCATTATTCCACCCCCAAAGCAACAAGGAGAGCTATCTATGAAGGTTATACTGAAGAATCTTTGGTAACTCTCATTTATACAGTCTTTTCAATAAAAAGGCAACAAGGAAATATATATTGTTATTTAAGATTATAAGAAAAATTCAATTTAAAGTCCTTTCCACCTCTCTTAACGTCTGTTAAAAATGCTTTTGAATTGACACTCTTTATGTGTGTCTGAACAAAGATGAATATTTTTGTAAAGTTTGAAGAAAACTAAGTACTGTAAGTTGTTTTTGAGCTACATACCATAACAAGTTTGTTTGTTATAGTACTAAAAAGTATTTATTCTCTCATAGTAAAATAGCATTATATTACCAAATTAGAATTGTTTGTGGTACAGTGTCCCACATAAAGCTTGAAAATGTTTGTAGATTAATAAGGTTTTTGAAGTGTTAAAATCTTTTTGATATGCAATTTGGTCACATAACTATTTTATTATAATTGTGTGTGTCAGACAGCTTGTGTATTATTATGTGTGTACTGTTCAGATACCTATTGCTTAATATGTGCACTTTTTTTATTCTTTACACGGCATGTATTATGTGGGTCTTGGCTAGGCATACAATATATTGCTATTGTACAGAAATTTAAGATTTGGACTGGAAAAGAGGGATGAGTTGGGGTATGAAGGAAGACATGACTTTCACTAGTTCATCTTTCAGACTTGATGAAGTATTATACTGCCACTGTATCTAAAAGGCATGGATACTTTTTTCTCAAGGCAAGACCCACTCAGACCTTTCATTCTAGATTTATTTAGCATATATTAACACAGAAGGTAAGTGTAGTAAAACTTTAACTTTTCCCCTTTACTTGTTTAACCTAGCAGAGGTCTGTAACTATACAGTTATTGTACTCTTAGTCTGTGTCTACATTGGCAAAATTTTGTGCAAAAGCATCTGCTTTTGTGCAATAACTTGCTGCCTGTCTACACTGGCCGCGAGTTCTTGAGCAAGAACACTGACATTCTAATGTAAGAAACCAGTGCTTCTTGTGCAAGAACTATGATGCTCCCACTCAGGAATAAGCCCTCTTGTGCAACTGTTCTTGCGCAAGAGGCCAGTGCAGACAGGCAACATAAATTTATTGCACAAGAAAGCTCGATGGCTAAAATGACCATCGGAGCTTTCTTGCGCAAGAGAGTGTCTACACTAGCATGGATGCTTTTATGCAAAAGCACATCTCTTGTGCAAAAGCACATGCCAGTGTAGACGCTCTCTTGCGCAAATACTTGAACGCAAAAACTCTTGCGTTAAAAGTATTTGCGCAAAATCTTGCTGACGTACACGTAGCCTTAGTCTAAAGCTACCACGTCATCACTTGGAATAATTTTATTCAATTTTAAAATAGAAGTTAAATAGCTGGAATAATTTGTCTTAATTCGACTAAGGTTAAAAGAGCTGAGACAAGTTACATAAACTAACCATCTGGCTCATTATCCAGAAAGCCAGCATGAAATATTGTTATGTCATCCATCTTTCTCCATAGGAGAAGATACAGCTCAAATATAGTAACACTCAAGTCTTCAAAAGATTTATGTAGAAGATCCTTAACATTATAAGCAGGAGGAACACCAATAAAAGTCAATGAGAGCACCTGTGCATAAAGTTAAACATGTATATAAGGGTTGCAGGGACAGAGATAATTACAAATGTATGTACCTTTAACTACTGGTTCTCAGTAGCTTAACTGATCTATATAAAACAACTTGCACCAAACAGTATGAAAATATCTGCACTGTATTAGGTAAGCAGTATGTTGGTATGCTGCATGCTAGAACTGAGTAGGGGAAAATATTGGGGGGAAAACAAACATTCCCAGCCCTGTCACTTACTTTCTTGGTGACCTTCAGCAACTAATTTTATTTATCGGTGCCTAGATTTTTTTAAATCTGCACAATGTGGCTGGTAATCCAGGCCGGGAGTGCTCTGCAGCAAATCGGAGGTAAATTCTGCAGCAGTTCCGCCTACGGTTTAAAACGCAGGTCTTTAATTCATGTTCACGTATAATTCAATTATTTTAGCAGCATTTGTCCTGTTTACACTTGACTACTTAAGTTCTAGATGTAACATGATTTTTCATCTGAAACATGCGTAACTGTCCTGCGGCAGGCGGGGCTCCGGGCACGTCGGAAGGCACAGCCGGGGGCTGTCACAGGGGAGGCGGCGAAACGCCGAGCCGAGGGGTGTCACGACAGAACTTCCCAAAACCGTAACAGCGCAGCAGACGCTGAACTGGCTACAGTGACCAGGCGGGGAGGCGTCTCCCAGCCAGCCCGCACGTCGCAAGCCAACATTATCGCGCCTCTCCGCGGCTAAGGGAAACTGGGCCCCACGGGCGGCGGCCGCAGGGCCTGCGGGGGCTTCTCGCTGCCGGTACAGGCAGAGTCGCCACGCGGGCTGAGGCTGCTCGTCCCGCGCCTCCAGACGGAACCTTTGTGCGGCGCCTCCTGCTTCGGGGGAGGGAATTAACCGGGACTAGCCACCGGCTGCTTCCTTCCTGCTGGTGCGCGCCGGGACTCTGCGCCTCACGCTGCCGCCTGGCTCGCGGTGAGTCGCGGGCAGAGCCGGATATGGGCCCCCTGGGGCCGGCGGGCTGGGCTGGGGCAGCGGGGAGGTGGCGGCGGGAGGGGGAAAGTTCCCGCACGGGCTTGCGATTCCTGTGGGCCCGCGCTCCGACTGGGGAGCAGCCAGTGCCGGGGGGAGGGGGGAGGAAGAGGATGGTGCTTCCTGCCCGCCATCCCCCTCCCCCAGTCACCAGGGCGCTGCATCGCTCGGGGCTGCCTCCCCCCGCCGCTTCCCCCTCCGGCCCGGATGTTCCTTTTCCTTCCCGCCGGTGGCGCGCCCGTCCCTGCCTCCTGTTGCACTTTTGTGCCCCCTGCTCCCCCCCTTCCTCCTTCCCCGGGTCCAGTCAGTGCTGCTGCCTCCCTAGTGGGCAGCCACCCAGCTGTTGCCCTTCAGTGACCGGCGATACTCTTGTGTCCTTGTAGTTTCCTCTAGCTACAGCTTTTAAAGCGTTTTGTATTCAATGAATTGTCCCAAAACCCTGGGTCGCGCCTCTTGCAAACTGAGGCCCATAGAGATCAAATGACTTGAACAGAGTCTCCTATAAGGGCCGCAGCTGAGTTAGGAAGGGGCCAGGTATTTCCCGACTGCCCCCTCTGTGTTTTCTTAGCTCATTTATTGTGGTGTGAAAGACAGCGAAAGCCCATATTGGTTATCAACTGGGGATGTAATAGGAATGTAAAGTTTAACCGATTAACCAATAAGCATCAGCTTATCATTTTCTGTTAGGGCTAAACACTGTCCTGCTGGTGTACCCTGGCTCCCAGTATAGCAGTGCAGTGTGGCAACATGCTCCCTGGGAGTGGGGCCAGCAGCCAGAGCCAATGCTTAAAAGCTGGCTCCTGGTGTATGCCAGCTCCTAGTTAGGGATGTTAATGATTACTGGTAAACCTCACTCTTAAAGGGTGAGACTTACTAGTTCTGGTTATCCAGCAGGAGCTGAAACAGCACTCAGCCTGTGCCGGCCAGGGTGCTGCTTCAGACCCACAGGTCCTGCTGCTGCAGTGAGTTGCAGGCAGGTGCTGCTCCTGACCCACAGAGTAACTAGGGTTTAATGGTTACCTTGTTACAGTTTATAAAACTTTTTTATATCCTATTATCAATTTCTGATGCTCACCCTTGACGGGAGGAGGCTAACTGTTGTGAGAATCCTTTAGCTGTGGAGACACCTGATTTCCTATTACAAGCATTCTTGTAGTAGATCCAAAATATTCCAGGTTTAGACTTTAGTCAAAGGTGAACTGGTGATCTCATGCATGTATAGAATAAGAGCAAAAAATATCTTGAGAGTTTTCAGCTGGGGAGGGGAGAGGGATAAATTTGTTTTTATAACACATAAGTGTATCTTTCTCTCTGAAGGTTGTTTTTTAAAATGTGTTCCATGACAGCTGTAGATAGAAAGCTGAAATGGGCAGGAAAATAGGACTCTCTGAGAAATGTCTGTAAGGGTTCAGATGAAAAATATGTTTTGATTTGACTGAGTTATTAGGATTAAAATTCAACATGGTCTTATGTACTGCTATATTTTTGGTACAATTTTTTTACTACTTTTTACTGACAGTCTAAGCTGAGTTGGTAGCTAATTTAACTGTTTAATACATATGCATACTTTCATATAGGAGACATTGAAGGAATCAATTCGCCTGTGGAGCATACATTTTTAACATGTATTGGTAGAATTCTCTATGATATTAAACTCTCAAAACGTTTTGGTTCTTTGCATGGACTGTTCTCTGTACCTGGCATCTAGGGTGCATCTATAGTCTTCCAGTACATTTCACACTGGGGAGATTGTTTGGGGGAAAAGAGACATACTGGATGTTATAAAAGCAAATAAAGTGTGCTGGAACCTCTTCTCCAATCTTTTGACCTCCCGATGTCCTTGGTGTGGCCTCTTGACTCGCTGCAAACAGCATTGCCACAATAAAAAGTGCTATTTATAGCAAATGAAACCAAAACTGGAAGGAAAAATTATTCACTCACTTAATATCTTTAAACTGTGTGGTACTTAATGAAGACTTCCATTATAAGTGAGCCTGGCTGTTATGTTCTGGGATCAGAATGTGGGATATATTCAAATAATTGATAATCAAGTCTTCAGAATTAAGTCATACCAGTGATTTTCTGGCACTTAAAAAGCCTGATGTTTAGAAAGCGTCTGATGGAATTCTAGGAGAACATTGTGAAGTACTCAAGTATTTGAGGCCCGTTATTTAGTCCATGGTGTGCACTAGTTACATCTTAGGAGGAAGAAATGTGTAAAAGGGTTTGAGGCCGGGTGTTTGCTAGTATGCTTTGTGGTGTAATAGTACATGTTAAATCTCTGTTACGTGGGATTCCGTGGTCCAGCAACATCTGTTGTCTGTCAAGACCACCGATATTCCAGGACCAGAGAATCCCAGAGGAGGGCTGGTGGCTGGGCTCCCAGCGGTGGGGCCAGGAGCCTGGCATGCCAGGAGCTGGGCTGCCCAGCATAGCAGGGAAGAATGTGGGGGGATCGGGAGGACAGCAAAGCTGATGGCAATAGGAGTTGGCCAGGAGGCCAGCAGTTGGTCCAGGGCTGTGGGGAGCCGGTAGCAGGGGAGCCAGATATGAACTTCCCTGGTCCGGCAAAATCCCTCATCCTGAGGGTATTGAACCACGGAGGCCCAAACTGTAGCTCAGAGGCCACAGTTATGGATCGGCTCAGATCCCCATTGAAGTAAGTACTTTACTAATACAGCAACAAAAATGTTCCCTGATCCTCTTTAGAGTTTATAATTTACCAGGGAAATAGTTAAGGGAAGAGAAGGAAAGTCCCTGCATAAAAGCTATCAACTATTATCTGTTTACAAATTGAAAAGAGGAATATTTGCTCTTGAGAAGATGTCCAAGAAAAGTCAAGATTAAGTATGTCTTGGGAGAGGAAGAGGAGCTGTCCAGTTTTGTGTGATTTGGTAGGGATGTAAGCGACTAGTAGACTATCGGATAAACATACGCTTATTGGATAGTCAGCTAGTGACTCGACTAGTTACTATCAGAGAGAAGCAGCAAGAGAGGAGCAGGAGCCGGTGCTGAGAAGATCTGGTTCCCTCCTCCTCATCTCCTTGGGGGAAGAGGCAGAGATACAGTTGGGAACTGGTGGTGCTTCGGCTTTGTTTCAAAATGCTATGTTTCAAAAGCAGAAGCTCCGTGGGGAACACAGGGCGAGCTGGGGACTCAAGCAGTCCTCTGCTGGCCCAGTGCTCCCTGCTTTTGAAATGTACAAGGGTCCCACAGGGCTCTTGTATATTTCAGAAGCAAAGCGCGTGGAGAGCATGGGGCCAGTGAGGGATTGCTTGAGTCTCCCCACTGTCTCTGTGCTCCCTTTGGCACTTCTGCCTTTGAAATGTAGCAAGAGCCGGCAGGGTTCAAAATCCTCCAGCTTGGCACTGGCTGTCAGCTCAATTTGGAAATCAGCCACAGAGAAGGAGCAATGGTTCATATTACCAAAGGATCTCTTATTCAGTCACCCAAGACCTAAAAAGGAAGGCAATCCGTGACTAAATGGAGGCTGCTCAAAATTTTCAGTCTGATCTCCTCCTACTTTAGTAGCGCATTGATCAATCTAATTTTTAGTCCTGATCTATATCTATCTACTAGCTTATGACTGTAAAAAAATTTGCAGTCTTTATGATGCCATTAAGTTGAGATTTCCCTTACTGAAGAAGTGGCTAAGTCAACAGAAACTTCTTCCTGTGACCTAGCTATCAACTCTCAAATTACCTACACTGAGGAGAAAACCCAGTTTGTCAATGTAGGGGTATGTAGTGTAGACAACTGCAGAACCATAGCTGTGCTGCTGCAATGTAGACAACCCATAGATTCCACTGACCCCAGATGCCTAATTGGACTTTTTTTTAACTCTTTAGGACCAGGAGCAATTTAGTAACTCTCTACATTGTGTGTCGTATAGAGGGACTCTGTGGCCTAATGAAACTTTTTCAAGTTTAAGTATTTGATTCAGAGAAGGTGATGGTCTGCTACAAAGCCAGCATTTGCAGCCTTCTGGGGAACTGTACAAATCAAGTCTGCAGATGTCTTGTAATGGATCCAGACAATTTTCTACTTTCTAAGGCCCAAATGTGGAATGCAAGTCTAAAAAATGTGTTAAGACACCTATTAAAAAAAAGTAGTAGAGGAAGAAGTTTGAAATAATGCATTGTGTCTTTCTTTAACAGGAAGTTTGTTTACTTGTCTTTTTTAATCAACATTTTTTATATTGGTAAATCATAGCAATAAAACAGCAGGCCTAAATAGGATTGGGGTAAACAGGGAACTAAAATGTGGCATATCCTTATTAGTAAGGTATTGTATGGTTAAAAGGAATTCATATATTTTAGTAAACAATTGTTCTGAAATAAGGACCTTGTTGAATACATTAAAATATAGAAGCAAGGGTTCAATTTACTGTGGTTGCCTTTTGTGCCTCTAACAGAAGTAGAAATGAAGCCAGATGTAGAATACGCCATAGATGTAACCCTTTCCACTCTAAGAGTATGTCTACATTTGCACCCCCTCTTTCACGAGAGGGATGCAAATGAAGACCTTCGAAATTGCAAATGAAGCAGGGATTTAAATATCCTGTGCTTAATTTGCATAATCACGTGATGGTGCTATTTCGAAATACAAAACATGGTATAGATGCGGTTATTTTGGGAGAACACCTTTCTTCTGAAATAACTGTTAAACCTGATTTTATGAGGAAGAAGAGTGTTCTCCCAAAATAACCGCATCTGCACTGTGTTTTGTATTTCAATATAGCGCTATTTTGAAATAGCGCCATAACGTGATTATGCAAATGAAGCATGGGATATTTAAATCCCGGCTTCATTTGCAATTTCAAATGTCTTCATTTGCATCCCTCTCTTGAAAGAGGGTGCAAGTGTAGACATACTCTCATTTTTGGGCTTGTGTTTCTAGTTTGACAGCATATAGACTTTATCATAATTAGAAACGTGCCCTTTAGTTGTTTAATTCCAGACTCAACCAGTTAATTAGTGTAGCATGAAGTTACATATGAGCTTGTACCACTACTCTAAAAATAGAAAACAGTCTGACTGCTACATAAGTGAACACATTTAAAAAAAATAGAATGTGTAGTTTTGAAGTCTAAAGCTTTTTTTCTCCTCTGACTTCTGTTTAGTGTTAAATCAAAATGGTTCATGCTGAAGCCTTTTCTCGTCCGCTGAGTCGGAATGAAGTTGTTGGTTTAATTTTCCGTTTGACAATATTTGGTGCGGTGACTTATTTTACCATTAAATGGATGGTAGATGCAATTGATCCAACCAGGAAGCAAAAAGTAGAAGCCCAGAAACAGGTAAGATCAAACTTTTAAATGTATTTTTTCTCTCTCTCTCTCTCTCTCTCTCTCTCTCTCTCTCTCTCTCTCTCTCTCTCTCTCTCTCTCTCTCTCTCTCTCTCTCTCTCTCTCTCTCTCTCTCTCTCTCTCTCTCTCTCTCTCTCTCTCTCTCTCTCTCTCTCTCTCTCTCTCTCTCTCTCTCTCTCTCTCTCTCTCTCTCTCTCTCTCTCTCTCTTATTTATATATATATATATATATATATACACACACACACACACACACACAAAAAAAACTTTTCCTGTGGGACGAAGGTTTTCCTGTCATCACATCACTCTGCATCCCACAGGCTCTGCCCTCGCATAGCCTCCCTGTCCCAGACCCTGTTCGGGGACCAGCAAAACCTCCTGGCAGCCTAGCCTGGGCAAATTCTGCCTCCCAAAAGGCTGCCGCCAGAGCTGAGTGGGCAGGACCCTTGGGAGGTGGAATCTGCCCAGGCCAGGCTGTCAGGTGGCTTTGCTGTGCCTGAGAAGTGTCCAGGGCAGGGAGCGACTCTATCCAGGACCTGGGCACTGCTCCAGATCAGCCTGCTGCAGGGAATGGCGCTGCTTCTGTTGCTCACAGGGCAGACCCCAGGCAGAAATTCCAGGGCGCTGGACTTGGGGATATTGGAGGCTCTGTTGAACACTGCTTGGGGGCCTTCCTGGCAGCCTGAGGTGCTGCATAGGAGCAGGCCCACCGGGGAAGCGCTGGCTGTGCCCCAGGCCCACAGACATCCCCCTTTTCTGTTTCAGAGCACCACAGCAATGCCACCTTTGCTGACCTTCTCTCCAAGTAGCTGCCCAGATACTGCTGTCACAGCACCTGGAGCAGCTCCTCCCTCCCACCCTGAAATTCCTGTGTATGGGCCTGGTTAGCTTGCCTGTTCCTAGGAGAGGGCAGAGTGTGCATAGGGAGGGAGGAAAGGGGATAAGGGTGTATGTGGGGATGGGTGGTGCAGTAAGGAGGATTGTGGGGGTGAGGGATATATAGTAATGGAGGCAGAAGGATAGGCAGTGTGGAGGGTGTAGAGGCAGAGGGATTAGGGAGGGTGGGTGGGTGGGTGTAGGAATTGGGGTAGGATAGGGATGGAAAGTGGGAATGGGCGGGATGGCGAAGGAGGGTTAGGGAGAATGGTGGGTATAGGAATGAAGGCACGGGAATGGGGCTGAAGGAATGGAAGATGGAGGTGGGGCTATGCATGGTAGGAGGGGGGTGGGTTTTAGGCCATGAACTATTTTATTGGCAGGTGGGGCAGAAGCAGGAAGGGTGCGGACGGGAGGGACTAGTTGGTGATTGAAGGGCACAAGCGGGTGGGATAGGCCAAAATCATTCGGATAAAGGGACCTGTCCAGGGTTGTGGTATGCAGAAGTGGAGAAGGGTGCAAGTGACTTGGGGCCATGGAGAGCACAGTTGGGCTCAGTGCAAGACTTTGTGTCCAGAGTGGGGTGGAGGGGGGGTTGGCAAGTGTAATGAGCAGGGGGCTCAGGTCACTAGTACTTTCTTTAAAAAATAATTATACAAGCTGCTCTGTATATGCACAAAAACAGTTTGTGAAGCACAGATAGGACAGAAATTGAAAACTTTCAATAAAAATGAGTGGGAATATTTCTCTGGCACAGATCAGGGCCTAAGTGGTCAGTTTCTGCAAAATTTAAAATTTAGTTGAAAATCAATTTTCTAGCTTAGATTGCTGTGAAAACCTTCCATATGCAAAGTAATGTAATGTTGTCTTCCTCATGTCTACAGACATAAGAGGTACTGGAGCTGTCTTCATAGCTTTGCTTAGTTAAAACTCCCATCACTCTTGCAACTGCTGTTTAAACTTTGTTGGCAGCTGTAAAACTAAAGAAAGTTTAAGACTATGATAATATTTGCAACTTTGGGAGAATTAGGGTTAATTTAGGCAGTTACTAGAGTTTTTCTTGCAAAGGAGAAACAAAACTTGGGAACTGGAACAGATGTAGGATAAATAGGAAGAACAATAAAAGGCTAGTATGGCTTTATCAGGAGATCTTTAATGACCTGAAAAATCAAAAAGGAATCCTACAAAAAAGTGAAGACGTGGACATATTAAGGAGGAGTACAAAAGAATAGCACAAACATGTACGAATAAAGTCAGAAAGGTGAAGACACAAAATGAGTGATACCTATCAAGAGACATAGGACAATAAGATGAGTTTCTTTAAATACACAGGAGCACAAGAAAGGAGGAGGAAGGGGTCAGCTCTCAACTTACTAGCTACTCCTTTCCAGTAACAGATAACATCAAGATAGCAGAGTTGTTTAATACCTATTTTGCTTCAACCTTCCCTAAAAAGGTTAATAGTGAACTGGGACTCAACAAAAGTAATATTAACAAGGGAGATTGGATGCAAGCCAAAACAGATGGGTGGTGGGGCTCAAGTTTTAGAGCCAACATATCTAACTCCAGGGTTGGGAGGCTCCAGTGAAACAGGGTAATGACCCACTTTGGGGTCCCAACCCACATTTTGAGAATTGCCAGTTTATGGTATGTAATTTTTTTATGTGACATTTGTCAGAAACTGAGGCTGTGAATTAGCCTCATATAGGCCACTGAGTAGAATCAGTAATGCCTTTCTACTGCAAAGGACTCAAGCTATTGTCAATAAATGACTTCCTATCACATTTCTAGTTCCTATCTTCGAAACATCAATATGGGAGCAGAATTTAAACTATTTTCTTTTTCTAATGTTCATGGCTGCTGTTCTCTCTTTTTAGGCAGAAAAACTCATGAAGCTGATTGGGGTGAAAAATGTCAAGCTTACTGAATACGAGATGAGCATTGCTGCACATTTAGTAGATCCTCTTAGCATGCATGTAAGGCTGCTTATTCACTGCTTATTTCCCTCTATTATTCCTATAATAGAAATGGTAGGGTGTGTGTTTGTGTGTAATTTATAAAACAATACATTTGATTCATGAAAGCTTTTAATAGTGTTAGTAGTCTAATCTATACAGCTAGGAATTCTATGTTTATAAATGTAGAACTTTAAATCTTTAAAAGCTCATTGTCAGAATATAAGTAGAAAATAACTTTCTATCAGGAAATCTTAACTGCATCATAGAGTGAAACCTGTATTTTCTCAGCATCTTATTACATTGCTCATAAAAATAAGTAAACTTATGTGGTTTTGAATCTGGGGTTTCGTACTTAAAGTAAAGTTCTTGGAGTCCATGTAGGAATCAGGATTATGTTTGCTGGTCCTAAGTATGATACATTAACTTACCTCCTCCTCTCCCCCATATTGTTTTTTGTACGTCAGGTAACCTGGAGTGATATTGCAGGTTTAGATGATGTTATTACAGATCTGAAGGACACAGTCATTTTACCTATCCAGAAGAAACATTTGTTTGAGAATTCCAGACTCTTGCAGCCACCAAAAGGTAAGGTGAAAGCATTCTCGATATAGCTCATGTGTGGTTTCTTTTATTAATACAAATTGTAATGACTACCTAGGAAAAAAAATGTATTTAACCTTTATGCTTTCAAGATTATTGTTCCAGTCAAGTTTGGTATTAGCAACAATGAGCTTTGTGTTATGGAAAAGGCTCAAATCTCAATTTAATATTTGAAGTTTAAGTCCCCAGAATGATATTTTTCTATCATCTTAATTATTAGAATTGAATGTATAGACTATCACCTCATTGTTTATTGCCCGAGGCTTTTTTCCCAGTGTGCGATTGTTAATTTTTAGCCTTAAAAGCCAAGTTCTTTAGTCTACTTAGGCTTCTATTAACACACAATGTAGATTATTGAAGTCATCCTTTCATGTCCTACCAATCCAAATACACATTTCTGAGACATCCGACCTATGCATTATTTCTGGATTTCATTTGTTTTCCTCTTTACATTAAATTTTCTTTTGCTGTTGTCAGATACAATTCTATGGTAGAAAATGTTTCCACACTTTGATGATACCAGTACGCTGACAGAAACAAAGGCCTTAAATGTGAAAACATGGAAAGCTAATTTTGTGGGTACCCCCCTGAATGCCCTGTTCCCAGATCTCCAATAAGACAGCCCATAAGGGAATGGAAGTATAAATATATATGAATAACTCTGGTAGTTAGATAAGTTCATTGCTAACTCAACACAACCAGAGAGAGAAAAGGTCTAAAATCTGCTCCTATTTATAGTGTTAAAAAGTTTGTGTCTCCACTGAAGTCCTTAGAGTCGCAACTGCTTTATGCTCTTGTACATGAAAGTAAAATTTGGACCTAAGTAGCTACATGAGAGAACAAAAGGATAGGGCTTATTTTCTATTGACAAGATCTCATGCATCTTTTCTCTGTATTACATGAAAGCCTTCTTTGTATAATTACTGCATATATCTTTCAATTATCTCCTTAAAATGTTCAGTTATTTTTAACTTGGAAATAAATGTTTTGGGTTTATACAAAATATTGTCAGCTTGTTAGGAATTCATCTTGGCTAGAAGATTGGTGTTCTGTCATGTGCCTTAAGAGGAAGAAAGGACCTTCTGAATAGACCAACCCGCTTAATGTTACTTTTTAAGTCATGAAGATGGGAGATGAATCTCTTGAGTAATTATCCCTATGTAGATGAGAAAACCACAAACATTTAAATTAAGAAAAACTCATCAGCTTCTGCAGCTTTGTTTATAGTGAATACTCATTTAAGTCTAATTAAATAAGAACTTATTTCCTACTGGAAAGTTTAAAAAATTGACTGATTTTTTGAAGAAAATATTTAGTATATGTACTTCTAAATAATATGTACTGAATGTTTTAAAGTGCTTTTAAAGCAGCTTATGATTTTTTTTCTTAACTCTTTTCAGAAAGGTAGAATGACTAAACAAAGCCATAGCCAATGCCCCAAGTAAGCAAACTGAAAAAATACATTTCCTCAGAAAACTTAAGATGTTTACATTTAAAATGAGCATTATGTATTACCTTCTTTTCTTAGTAAAGAGTTAGTGGTCTTGAATAATTTGAAATTTATTTTTTATATTAAGGCCATAATTGCAGTACGATAGTGCACACTGAGTTTGGTGGTAGTTACTGAAAGATACTTTGATGTCACCCTTCGGGAAATCTAGTTTTAATATGACTTCATACATCACTATGTTAGTCACACCAAAGTGTTTACTTCCTTCCAGTGAGCTTAATATTTTATTACTGTTACTTTTTAGGAGTACTTCTCTATGGCCCTCCAGGTTGTGGTAAAACTCTGATTGCCAAAGCTACAGCAAAGGAAGCAGGTTGTCGATTTATTAATCTCCAGCCTTCAACATTGACTGACAAGTGGTATGGGGAATCTCAGAAACTAGCTGCTGCGGTCTTCTCCCTTGCTGTAAAGCTCCAACCTTCCATCATTTTTATTGATGAAATAGGTAAAATACCTGCTTTTTTTCTTGTAGTCATAGAAAAGAAACATTAAACTTTGCATGCAAGTTGATGTGTGTGATTATATCTAATTCTTAGAAAACATATGTTTTAGCATACAGAACAAAATGGTAATCCATCAAGATTTAATAGCATGAACCGTATTCAAGAGCATCCATGGCAAAGAAGCACATCATATTGCAGAAGTCCTGTGATAACTTTATTTAAAATTTAACTCTTATTCCTATATAATGTCTTTCTTAATGAGACTTTCCTTAAATTACTTTCTAATACTAACAGTGTTTGTGAATTTAGAAGAAATAACATCGTGACCTGAAGTTCCTACTTTCTGAGGCTACACTGCGCCTTTATTTCAGAATAAACTATTCTGGAATAGCTATTCTGAAATAGCTTATTTCAAAATAGCACATCTTCACTGCAAGGAAGCCTCAAAATTAGTCCGAGGCAGGCTTCCCTAATGTAGACGTACTATTTCGATGTAGAGCCCCAGGAGGTACTGGGGAGGAATAACATAGAATGGCCTTGGTGAGGGGCTATTTTGAAATAGCAGAAGTGGAAAGTTTACACAGTCCCTATTCCAAAATAATTATTTTGGAATAGGGACTGTGTAAACTTTCCACTTCTGCTATTTCAAAATAGCCCCTCACCAAGGCCATTCTATGTTATTCCTCCCCAGTACCTCCTGGGGCTCTACATCGAAATAGTACGTCTACATTGCCGTAATAACTTTGCTGTGTAGACATACCCAGAGGGTCAATTCTAGAAATATATGTTGGTGAGAACAGTGCTAACCCCTTCTTTCTCTATGGGAATAAGTTGAACCTTTAGGAAGTTCACATTGGAGAGAAAAAGTAAGGCTCCAGGTTCCACCCCTCTTTCCTTCCTTTCCACCCCGCTGCCTCTTTCTGATAGAGGCAGCAAGTAGTGGGGGAAGTGACTAGTGGATTAGTCTGTCGACTATCTAATAAGCATTTGCTTATAGGATAGTCAACTAGTCATTCCCATCCCTAGTGTATGTTATCTTCACTTTGTGCATGTATTTATATTTTGTTTTCTTTGTTTTCATTTAAATGAGAACAGGGAAGGAAGAAGATAATTTAAAACAAATCTGTATATGGTTTAGCGAGAAAGAAGTTCTATTTTCTAGGAGCATAAGAATTTGTCGTTCTAACTTCAAAGTCGTGAATCCGTACCAAAGTGAAACAAGTACATGTCATGTTAAAATTGTTTCTGGAAATGCTCTTACTAACTCTTTTGAACAATATATGCTTCTGAAGATGATTAGCGGAACTAGAATTCTGCATGAAAAGTGAGTGAGCCACTCTATATTAAACATACGAAGTAGGGATGTAAAATCCCGTTTAATCAGTTAACTGATTAAGTGGGATTCCATGGACAGGGCTGTAGGGCTGCCAGGTAACTAGTTACACAATACCGGTAAGGATGATGCTTACCATATAACTGGTACCCATTCACATCCCTAATGCAAAATTTCCTTTGATAACTTTGACGCTTGTTATATTCTCACAGGGAGCACTATGGTAGTCTGCATGAGGAGCAATGATGAACATTCATTTTTTACATATCTAGGAATGGAAAATTAAGAGCTGCCTAAGATACTACTTATATATAGCAAGTGCTAGTAAAGTAAAACATTGGCAAATACAGATTTTTCTCCTAGGTTTTCCACAGTATTTTGTGATTATTTCAGAGACAGTTTCATGTGAGATTTCATGTACTTGCATAATGCTTAAATAATGTAACTGAGAAGATCTAACTAAAATTTCAGTGATAGTCAGTATTTTTTCCTTGGTCCTAATTTATTTTTCTTCTGTGATTACAATATTATAAATTTGTCCTTGATAAGTATAGTCGTTGCTGTGGTTGAACGTGAAGGTAAATAATTCTCATCAAATCTTTCATTAAGATTCCTTTCTACGAAGTCGTTCAAGTTCTGATCATGAAGCTACGGCTATGATGAAAGCTCAGTTCATGAGTCTGTGGGATGGTCTGGACACTGACTATACGTGCCAAGTGAGTTTAAAAAAATAAGATGTAAACTACCATAATTATCACAGAGAAGCGTATTTTTTTTTTCATTTAGGAAATGACCAAAGATAACCTATTGAACAGAACAGCTGCTGGAGAAGTTGCTATGTTTTGTTTCTGGAAAGCAAAATATGTAGGAACAAGAACCCTATGCCAATAACTACTTTATGCATTCATGTGCTGTGGACAATGATAGACACTTCTTAACAAGAGTTTGTTTCAATAATATGACCATAAGATTTGAGATGACTAAATCTGGAACTTTATTACTTGAAACACAAAATCACACAAACAGTTGTTTCAGGCTAAATGTAATGGCTATGACAAATACAGACCACTGTTAGCCTATCTAAGTGGTGAGGAAATAACCCTACACTTTTCCTTCTGAAATTCAGTTACATGGCTCCTAAATCTTAGATCCCAAGAACCTTAGTAAAATATGTAAATATTAATCCCAGTTATATCTGTACTCATTACAGAAAAGCCTAGGCATCCTCCCTGCACCAGCCCAGTTGCTTCTCCCAAAAAATAAAAAGCATAACCCTTATGCCTGTTGAGTGAAACTTGAAAGTATAGGAAGCTTGATATTACCAGAGCAAGAATTTTGACTCATTGATTAATTTAACCAACCCTTCCTTTCTCAAACTTTTGGTAGCAATAGCTGCTGCTTGTAAAATTGCTTGAGAGACTGAAATTCTGTAATTTAGAATGGTTGGAGAGTAACAGGGAAGCTTGCCCCCATATCATCCTATCAACATATCTTAAATTTGACTTAGAGGAATCTCCTTGCAAGGGTGTGAGGACAAATTTCTCTGTATCTGTTAAACACTTGATTTGTGTCAAAATTCCATTTAAACTGATAGTTTTTTTTTCTGTTGAAATCTAGGAACTGGACAGATGACTACTTGTAATAGGCCACCAAGCAGTCATTGGATGCTATCTGCAGTCACTTCAAACTGGATTTAGGCTATGTCTACATTACAGAGTTTTTGCGGAAAAACAGCATGTTTTTGCTCAAGAGAATCAAAAGAACAGAGGTTTTTGTACAATTGATATTCCTCTTTGTACAAGGAAGGAGCCTTTTTGCAAAAGAGTTCTTTCGCAAAAAGTTGTGTGTGGATGGGAAGGAGGGGATTTTTGCGCAAAAAGAGGAAAAAGCACAAGTGCCCGGGTGGCCATTCTGTGCGTACCAATCAGTACTTACTTTTGAGAGAGCGTCCATGCAGTCTGGATGCTGTCCTTCACAAAAGCGCATCGCTTTTGCAGTGTGGACACGTTCTTGCGCAACAAGTTTTTGCGGGAAGATCTCTTCCAACAAGCTTCTTTCCCAAAAAGCCTGCAGTGTAGATGTAGCCTTAGATTGGAATTCTAGAATTGATAAGGTTTTATTTCCCATAAAAAAGATCCTGAATTATCCAGTGCCTCAGAGTTCTCTTTTCCCTTTAAAACAAGCTTTCTGCAGGCTGTTTCACTGAGTTTTAACTGATTTTAGAGTTACAAACTAAAAAAAGATATAGTCAGAATGACAATCCATTTAAAATCCAACTTCTCACACATCTTGAATATAATCAGTAACTATATAGCAAAGGTTTCACCTTGTGATTCAAAGACATATAGGCTAATTATAGCTGTTGATTGTCTGCTTTGGAAGAAACAGCTCTATACAGTATGCCAGTAAGATGTTTGTGCTAATAACTTCACCACACAGAACTTGAAATTTAAAGTTGAGTAACCTGATGTTCTCTTAGGCACAGATTTTTCCCATTGTTTTTAACATGATGCCTCTGTAAACACAAAAGTTTCTTGCAAATCCTCAAATGAAGCATTGCTTTTCTTCAGTAAAACATGTATCTGGCCTTGTGCTTCCACAAATGAATCCAGTGTTCTGGGTCTGAAGAAGCCATCATGCCGCCTTACATACCACCTGGCTGTAGAATTTTAGGAATTGGTTATGAAATAATCTAAAGTATTTGAGAGCTATTGGATCTATTTTTGGTCATTCCTACTGTTATAACAGCTGTTCATCCACTATGTTGTAAGAAAGGTACACAGTTTCTCTAGGGACACAGAAGAGGGAAGAGCAGTTGTGGAATTTTACACTGTAATCTCTATATTAAACTTTAAAATACCTAAATTGAGCTTAGTCTGTCCCCAAGCATCCTTTTGCATGAATGGTGATATGTTTATATTCGCACTTGGAAATAGATTTTTGGCCTCAGCACAAAGCAGATAGCAGCCATAAAGCAGGTAGATCTAGTTATCTTACTTATCTTATGCAAGGAGAATCTTCAGGTACCATAGAGCTGATTTAGTGCAGCTGCTGTTTTCCCAGAGGAAAGGTAATGTGACCAGGCCACCTGCATGCCAGGTGATTGCCTGCTTCCAGACGGGTTCGTGGGGCCAGCAACAAGGATTGTTATATCGTATTTCATACCTTTGACTTTTGCCAGGTACTGGCCTGCCAATTGGATGGTCCCAGAAACAATGGGTAAATGTGGTCTTTACTTCCTAATGCTGTGTTATGTGCAGATCAGAGAATTTGACCTCTTAACTTCTTCTACCTGTGGCTCTAATAAAGATTGTTGGATCATTGATTTAATTATACTTTTGCTTAGAACATTTTGTTGAACATAAAATATTTAAATGTCTGTTTACCATCTCAGGGCATGTCTACACTACGTGGAAGATCAATGCTGCCGGGCTCGATTTTCTGAGGTTCGATTTAGTGAGTGTAGTATAGACCCACTAGATCGATCTCAAAGTGCGCTCCCATCAGCGCTGGTACTTCTGCTTCTCATGCGGAGTAAGGTAAGCTGATGGGAGCATTTGCTCCTATCGGCTTCCCACTGTGTGGATAGCATCAAAACACAATGTAGGATACATCAACTCCAACCACATAATTTACATAGCTGGAGTTGTGTATCTTAATTCAGCCTTCTGATATGGTGGAGACTAGACCTTAAAAGTCAAAGGTATGAAATACGCTATAACAATCCTCTGCTGCTGGCCTCAGGAACCCATCTGGAAGCAGACAATCACCTGGCATGCAGGTGGCCTGGTCACATTACCTTTCCTCTGGGAAAACAGCAGCTTCACTAAATCAGCTCTATGGTACTTGGAGATTCTCCTTGCATAAGATAACTAATAACCTGTGCCATAATATTGTGCCTCTAGGTGGCAGCACATCCTAACCTGCGAAAGCAACATAGCTCAGAGAGCATAGCTCTCAATTTGTCAAGCCAATTGTGGAGCAGAAATACAAAATGAGGGATCTAAAATCGATGGGCATTTAGGAGTCTAAAATGATATGGGATTAATTTCTTTCACATTTATGTTTTTGTGACTGAGCACTTGCAGTGTACATAATTACAGTAACAAGTGAGAAAATGAGATGTGTGTGCTGTGGGTAAACTTGCTCATAAATTGGCAGTGAAGCTATAGTCCAATGGTATAAATATGGATAATATGAATGCATTTTATTTTTATTACATTATAAGTAACCTTTGTAAAGATTCTTGTAGCTTCACATCCAAATAATAATACCAAAGTAATTGGTATATTTTGGCATTTCATAATTGCCCTCTGCTATTTAATCTATTTTTCTATATTAAGGTAATAGTGATGGGAGCCACCAATCGCCCTCAAGATCTTGACTCTGCCATTATGAGAAGAATGCCTACGAGGTTTCACATTAACCAACCAGTAAGTCATAGCAAATTATTTCAAATAATGTTGAGGAGTTTGCCTGCTGAGTTAGGTACCATACCAAATAAGGGACTTATGTCTTCACTTTCCAGGGAAACAGAACCAGAAAGCATTATTAAGGTTTGTTTTTCGTTTCTCAGAAGTGCAGATAATTTTACTTTTTAGGATGAAATTCGAGACATAAACATTTCAGCTACAACCAACTTGTTGTAGCACTAGCAGCTTCTAAATCCTGCATTCTGTTCATGCATTCCTCCTGTAGAATAGATTTTGTACCTGTTTTCCATTCTGCCCATCTATACTACCCATCCACACACAGCTTGAAGAATTTATAAAGGTTGTAGAATCTCCATCTTTGGAGATATTCAAGAGTAGGTGAGATAAACATCTGTCAGGGATGGTCCAGATGGTACTGTATTCTACAGTCTCCCTTGGCAATTTATTCCGGTGTTTAACCACCCTGACAGTTAGGAAGCTTTTCCTAATGTCCAGCCTAAACCTCCCTTGCTGCAATTTAAGCCCATTGCTTCTTATCCTATCATCAGAGGCTAAGGAGAACAATTTTTTCCCCTTCTCCTAGTAACACCCTTTTAGATACCTGAAAACAGCTATCATGGATAGTTGAAGTCCCCCTTCGCCACCAAGTTCTGTTCTTTGGATGATTTTATTAGTTGTTCAGAAATGCATCATCCACCTCTTCTGCCAGGTAGGTGATCTGTAGTAGACCCTTAGCTTGACATTATCCTTGTTTTTTACCACTTTTAACCTAACCAAGATTCTTCACAAGTGTGTCTCCAATGCCCATCTCAACCTCAGTCCAAGTGTATGAATTTTTAATATATAAGGCTATACCTCCTCCCTTTTTTCTCTGCCTACTTAGTTTCTTCCTCTGATTCCCGGTTCAAGAGAACAATTATGCATTCACATCCTAAATACCTGGAGAGTTACTGCTTCCCAGTATCTCAGAGAGGGTATCCTTACTGGTGATTCTTGAAACAAGAATAAGTGACTTACCATGGCAACTGGGGTTCTGTAAAGTGGGAAAGTGAATAAAGGGTGTGGATTCATATGGACAATCTTCTTGGTCTTGTGTAAAAATATTCTGCGAATTAATAAAAGAAACCAAAGGATGTTTGGGGCTGTTTTACCCTTTGATTATGTCAGAACACTTTTTGGGATGATAATTGAACCTCAGCGGAGTGTACTCTGGAAAGGCCATGCTCTTTTGCCAGAGTACACTTAGCTCAAGTGTGGTTTTCAGTTTGGATGACAGTCATCTCTGAGCATCACATTTACTATGGCAAGCAGGTTGCTTATTAATCCAAATATAACAAGTGGAATTGGCAGCTGTGAGTACTCAAGGCCATACTCTAGGTAAGAAAAAGGTGTTTGTGGGGCTTGGTAATATGGCAGGCATTGAAGCATATGATAAACTATTCAGCAATGTGCATTCAGTGCATTGACTTTTTATGAATGGAAGTGAATTTGAATGGCAAAAGCTTGTTCAATGCCTTTTTTTTTTTCTTTTTCCCAGTACTTACATTTTGCAGTCTTGGTAAAACTGTTCATTGCTTACCCATCTTTTGCTAATTTCATTGTAATGCATGGCTAATATTATTTAAGAAAGTTTTCCAAGTATGATATTTAGAGTCAATGTGATTTTTTTAATGGCATTTGCAGCAGTTATATTTGTCCTGTGAATTATGTGATTAACAAAGTATATTAAATATATAATTTCCATTTTAGATCCAGAGGGACCAGCCCTACCCTCTGTTTTAAGTAATGGGTACTGAAAATTCCAAGGTGGTTACATGGGTTCAAGTCCCACTCAGGGAAGAGTAAGATCTATAGTATTTAATAGGAAAAGAAATGTCCGCCTGTATCATTCCCTTTCTCTTCCATGACTGAAATCTTGTTTTCATTTAAAGGCTTTGAAACAGAGAGAGGCGATTTTGAAATTGATTTTGAAAAATGAAAATGTAAGTAACTTGTTTAAAAAATATTTCTATGCATTATCATGGCCATGGCTGGAACCTTCAGGGCAGTTGACAAAACATGCTTTAGAACCAACCCTTCTTTGGCAATGTATTGATTATAATCAGAAATATGCTGGTAGACAGTCTTTGTGTGCAGCGTATTTATGACTGGGAAGGGTCTGCATTTGGGTGTGACCTCAGATTTCCAAGGCAGAGTTGTCCAACAGATTAAGCATGAAACTCTCTAGAGAAATTGGATTTCTCATCTGTTTTGACAGTGATTCATTGTGTGGTTTGGAGAAAATTATATAATATGTCTGTCAGTGATACATCCTATAACTGATCTGGGAGGTAGCTATGTATGACTTCGCTAATTTTATCTCCAGCTTGTTGATCGGGAAGAAAAAAGGTTGCCTCACATTTATCCAATATTTTAGATGGGGGTTAATGTCACAGAGTGGAGAAGGAACAGGGAGACTCGGAACATCTGTTCTCAGGCAATTTTACTACTGTTGCTGTTGATAAAAATGTAAGGCCTCCAGGCATAGAACCCTCATTATCTGAAAAGGGAGTTCTACCCACAGGGAACTCCCTTTTCAGATAATGGGAGTTCTGTGCATGGAGGACTTGAAGGGTTTAATCAGCGATGGGAAAACTTTTTGGTCCGAAGGCCACATCTTGGTATGGAAATTGTATGGTAGGTCATGAATGCTCACGAAATTGGGGGTTAGGTTGCAGGTTCTGGGGTGAGACCAGAAATGAGGCGTTCAGGGTACAGGAGGGTGCTCTGAGCTGGGATGAAGGAGTTAGAAGGTGAGAGGGAGCTCTCTGCTGGGACAAGGGATGGGGATGCTTTTGGGAGAGGGAAGCAAGGGCTCCAGCTGGGGGTGCACGCTCTGGTGGCAGGGCAGGAGATGAGAGGTTTTGGGTTCAGGAGGGTGTGCTGGACTGGGATTGATGGGTTTGGAAGCTGTGAGGGGAATCAGGGATGGAACAGGGAGTTGGAGTGGGAGGGGCCCTGAGAAGGGTACAGGATGTGGGCGGCTCTTACCTGAAGCTGCTCATGCAAGCAGTGGCCCATCCCCCTCCCCCAGGTCTCATGCGGAGTTAGGGCTGTGGAGCTCTGTGTGCTGCACTTTCTATAGGTATAGCCCTTGCAGCTCCCATTGGCTGCACTTCCTGGCCAGTGGGGCCTCTGGCTGCCCCTGCTTCCTGTAGCTAAGCAGTGCAAAGCTAGCCCCTGACCTTGCTCCCCAGGGAGAGCCTGAGGGAAGATTAAAAAGTCCAATGGGCTGCATGCCACCGATGGGCCGTAGTGTGGCCATCCCTGGTTTAGACCCTCCATGTTAGTAATCTCCATAGTTCTTCTTTGAATGTTTGCTCGTGACCATTCCAATTAGGTGCATGCACGCCACGTGCATGGATTCCGGAGCTTTTTCCCCTAGCAGCATTAAGAGGTAGCAGGCAGGGCAATTGCTCAGGGACCCATGCCATAGGGTGACCTATGAAGGTATGTTGCTCGGGCTTCTGCTTAGTCCTAGGGCTTCTGCTTAGTCCTAGGGCAGTCAGCCCAGGGCCCTAAATCTTCTATACTGCACCCCAGCACGTAGTGGACCTGAAAACTGCTCATGGTCCCTGGGGGGCCCCAACCTATACTAATTTTAATAATAATATGAGAGTTGATCCCTATGATGGCTAAGCGTTAAGAAGAAAAGCATTTCATAAACTATCAGGATTTCTAGCAGGTTATAGTAGAAATGTAAGGTCCTCTGGCAAAATAAGTTAGCACTAGAGATATGAAAGCAGAATTGATACTTAAAAGAAAATTGTCAGCCTATAGTATTCCTAGAACAGTGGTTCTCTTAACTTTTTTGCACGTGGAGCACCTAGCTCAATGTAAACCTTTCCATGGACCACCAGTTGCTAATGGAAATTCACTGTTAATTACATAATTATGCCTGCGCCATTTTGCTAGTGCTGCAGCTAGGGAGAATGGTTTAATTAAATTAAATCGATGAAGCATTTTAACTTTCTCATGTTAGTTTATCAAATTTCATTTTAAATAAGCTAAAATATTAATGTATGCCCAACACAAAAGGTTTCTATCTTTTCTTTATTTATGGCAAAGGTGGGGAATCTTTCTTTGTCGGAGGCCCCTGACCCACAGAAAAATCAGTTGGGGACCACACAAGTGAGAAGCAAAAAAACTCCTCCAAAACCCTCACTGAGGTGGCCCCCAACTGAGACATCTCAGTTCTCTGGAATTCCAGCCCCACTGCTCTAAGGGAAGGGACAGGGAGGACTAAGGTTCAGGGCTTCCCATAGGACAGATTTACTTTTCTGGGGTTCTGGAATTAGTGGATTTATGGACCCCTTAGGCTCTGGGGTAAAGACAAAATGAGGGGTTCAGTGTGTGAGACAGGGCTGCCAGTGAGTGGGATAGAGATGGGGTGCAGAAGGGGGGGAGGTTGTGAGGTATGGGTGGGAGGCAGGGTGCAGAAGCAAGCTGGGAGTAGGGTGTCTGGCCAGGGGGGGAGAGCAGGAACAAGGGAGGGTGCAATGTGTGGCCAGGAGGAAGGGTGCAAGGAGCAATGGTAGATGTACGAGCAAGGTGGGAGGTAGGTGTCTGGCCAGGAGGGAGAGTGCAGGAATGGACTGAGGGGAGGGTGCCTGGCCAGGAGGGAGGGTATTTGGCTAGCAAGGAGTTGCAGGAGGATGCTTGGGGTAGGGTGTCTGGCTGGGGCAGTAAGACGGGGGTGGAGAGTGCCTGGGGATAAACCTGGGGGGCAGAGTGGCTGAGGGGGTTCAGGGAGATAGAGGGCAAGCTGCCCCATAGAATAGGGCTGAAGTCACAGTGGCTTGGTGGGGGGGAGGTTCCAGGAAACAGGGGGTAGAGCAGAGAGGCTGGGCACAGCAAGGCATGGGTGGGTGACTGACTGATCCCAGGGTGTCCAGTCATGCTGGGGGCAGAGTCCCCTGGGAGTCCAGTCCATGACGCCCTCAGGGGGAGGGCACTGAGCCTTTCCCCCAAACCAAGTCCTCATGGTTGCAAAGCCCCAAAGGAACCGAGCACCCACCTGTGTACTGCAGAGTCCTCAGCCCCGGCGCCACCTGGTCCTGCACAGCCCAGCCTGCAGCTTGCCCCGTGGGAGCAACCAAAAGACGCGCTGCTCTTACCATGGCGACTGCAAGCTTGGTGAGGCCTAAGCAAGATGGATGCCTAGCAATGGGCAGGACTTTCCCATGGAGCTGGGCAGGCGTCGCTCTTCCATGTGTAGCTCCACAGCCCGTGATGGTGGAGGGGTGAGTTTTCTCTCATGACCGCCCTGCCCACCGGCTGGAGTTGGTGCTACAGCTTGTGGCTGTGTGCCGACCTCAAGGGTCCAGCAGCAGCACAGACTCCCCACTGTGTAGTTAGGGGCTGTTGACCACCTGGGAGGCAGCCCCGCACTTTGAGAACCACTGTCTTAGAGGAAGGGGTAGTTCTGGCTCAAACTTACTGATGATGATTTTAAGTTTGATGGATTTAGCATTGGGAAATCTTTAGAATTATAGACATTGGGGTTGGAAGGAATGTGATAAGTCATATCAAAGCATTTAAACTTTTAGAGCAAGGTGATTTAGATACAGATTTTTCTTTGTTTTTTCCTTTTATTTAAACATGTTCCTTAATAGTGACTTAATTTGCCCTATAAAGAAATTTTTTTAAAAAAATCCCCTTGCTTTTCTGATGCAGCTGTGTAAAAAGATTAGCTTCTAGAAGACATCATTTTGTGATGGAAAATATTTATATTTAAAGGTGAGGAATCTTGGATCATACTGGAATTATCAAGAGGGGATCAAAACTCCTGGGTTTTCTTTTTGGGTTCTACCTGACTTAGTGCATGAACGTGGACATGTTGTATTACCTCTCAATGATTCAGCTCTCTAATTTGTAACCTGGAACTAATTCTTCACCACCTCTGAATAGCACTTTGTTAAAATTAATTGGCTTTAATGTGTTTTTGAAATTCTGTGATGAAAAGTGCCAAGAAAAATATAAATATGTCAGTGGCCTTTTCCTAGACTTAGCCTGTGAGGTGGCAAAAGAGTTTATTAAAATGAAACTTTTGAATGCTAAATGTACACTTTCAGATAGGGATATAATAGTGTACTCAATTTACCAGTAAGCAAAAACGTATAGGTTAATGCTATAGACTACATGCATTTCCTCCTCTTCCTCTCCTCCCCCCCATTAAATTTTTTATTAGGCTGACCAGCAGCCTGACTCAGTCCTAGCAAGCAGCCTGGCTCAGTTCTGGCTCACGCCAGGTCCAGGAACTCAAGATGCCCTCCAGACAGGGGCTGCTGCCTCTGTACCAGAGGCAGCAGCATGGGGCAACAGGCAGCTGGTCCATGTGGGGAGCTGGCTTCCTTCATGGATCAGCTCCCGCCTGGCACCCCACACTGCTGCCTCTGATACAGAGGCATCAGTACAGTGGCAGGGGGCTCCTCGGAAGTGGGGTCATAGTGTACTGGCTGCTGGCCCCATCCCCAGGTACTATAGAATAGTCAACTAATCTGTAAGGATTCATGAGGTTACTTGACCATTCAATTAATCAATATTTAACATCCCTACTTTGAGATCATGTCTGAGAAATAAGTTCCTGTGTTGAAAGACAACATGTACTAAAGCAAAACAACACTTATAGGCCTATCTCTAGGTATCAGTTTGCATTATCTACACATATAAAAGGACCTGAGTTCACTAGGTACTATTTAGGACCAGCCCCTTGTAAGGAAAGGGTAATGTTGGAGGGGAACTTTATCTTAATTCCTGTGATCGCATTTTTATCAACTAGTAGTTACAAGATGCTAAGTCATGTTTAATCCTGAGCTGATACTTACACCTCTTCATTTGACATAATTTGTTAGTAAAGAAAAGCTCAAAGTGTCATAGAAGCTCCTTCAAGATTTTGTGCTGGGGGCGGAGGTGTACAGGAGAAATGAAATATAATAAGGACATTTTATTGCCTTCTAATTTCTGCCAGTTCCTTTTAACATCTATAAAGTTTTGCTAGTGAAACAATTTTTCTGATACCCTATACCTGGGAAATAATAGGTGAATTGTCTTACATTGTGAATACTTTTAGTACTTTTTAGTTTCTGAAAGGTAGAACCTTGATTTAAATCTAAAGACAATAATAATTTTCCACGGTGACTTTATTTTCTATATTTAGTAGTTTTTTAGTAGAATATCTTGCTTGCCAGTTTTCATATTTGCTTTATTTTCTGTTAGGTGGACAGGCACGTGGACCTCCTGCAAATTGCTAAAGACACTGATGGATTTTCAGGAAGCGATTTGAAAGAAATGTGTCGTGATGCAGCACTCCTGTGTGTCAGGGAATATGTTAATGCTACACATGAAGAAAGGTGCTTGTTGTTTGTATTAAGGCTGCCAAACTGAGGCTGCGCCCCCTTTGTTAGACACTGTACAACTAATTTTAAATAAGGAGCTTTAAAAACTAAAGTAAAGAATATAGTAGTGGTATGTCTACACCAATCCTCACTAGACAGCCAAAAAAAAATCCAGTGAATAAATCACTTCATTTTGATTATGGATGCAATCAGGATTTTGTTGAAAATAGTTTCTGTACCATAGGGAAATATTGTGGTAAAAGGTACACTGCATCTTGTGTGTTTAACTTCATTGATTTTTTTTTTTAATGGAACTGTTCATATGCATAAAGTTACACTTTGTATTATGTTTTCAGGTTTCCCTCTGTAATCATAAAACCTATAAATGGGACTACTTGGATTGTTCAGTATATCTTCTGTAGGTTCCATTCATGCACCCCCTGCCTCTTCCAAAGTGCTAAACTATAAATTTTAATGTAAAGGCTCCACAACATCTGTTACAGGATCACTGCCCCCAAGCTCACCTTCGTGTGCTCTTAAATTCAAATTGAAAGTGAACTTTTCCATAAATATCAAAACCACAAATGAGTGAACATGAAATAGTGCCCAAGTTCCTTATTATTTAACTGTAGTTTCAGTGCCCAATCAGATTGTCAAATTTGGGTTTCTTTCTTGTTGAATGAGTTCCTTATTACAGTATCCGTAACTTCTTCTCTAATAATGCCTGAGGAGGAACACACACCATTGTGTTGCATGGGCCTTGATTCTCTATTACATTGTGTGATTTCTGAATATTGCAGCAAGTAATAGAATAGCCCCTGTGAACTCTTCTCCCTTACCCCTGGGTAGGTCAATTACATACATTAATACAGCAATACACATTGAACCTCTTTAGTCCAGCACTCTCTGGTCCGACCACATATGTGGTCCTGAATCATTTTAGTTAGCTGGATGTCCACTTACCAGGAGTGTGGACATGTTTCCCGCAGTTCCATAAAGTTTGTTTACAGTCACCAGTAGGGATGTAAGCAAGTAGTTAAGTAACTGATAAGCCTAGGCTTATCAGTTAGGTTGACTACTCGCATCCCCCCCTTGCTGCCTATGCATTTTTAAAGCTGGTTTCCCCCCCTCCCCCCAGCATTGTCTCCACAGTGCCACCTCCCCCCCTACCCTCCCCCTGCTGCTGCCGGGGGGCAGGGGGAGCCTGCCATGAAGCAGCCTTAGCCTGTGGCAGACCCAGGATCGCTGGTGGCAGAAGCTGCTCCTCATCCCACAGAGTAGCCTCTGCCTAGGGAGAGCCAGGGCCCTCTGTTGGCAGAAGCTGCTCCAGCAGCATCCCCATCCAGGACCCCTGTCATGACCATGAGGGATGGGCAGCAGCCTGGGGAGAAAGGGCTTAACTGTACCTAAGCCAGAGAGCAGTCAGCCAATACAAATGCAGATAGGGATTTCAAACTGGGACAAAGGAATTTTTGGTTTTTCCCTTCTTTGTCCCTGGGCAGTTTCTTTCCAGATACTGAGGGAGACAGACAACCCCCATGGACAGGGGTTGCTGGACCTGGAGGGAGCAAGGACTGAGCAAGCCTGGCTCAGTCCCAGCTCACACTGGGTGTGGAACCTACCCCTGCTGAGTGCCATCCCTTTATCAACTAATTGTGTAATTAATAAAAAGTCTATTGACTACACAATTAGTGAAATACTAGCTTCTGAACATCCCTAGTCACCAGTCCTGGGTTTGTGTTCTATGCTGCTGTTTAGTTCTAATTTATCCCTAAATGTCTTCTAAGAGCCAAGTAAGCAGTGGAAGGTGTTGGCAATGGTGCTAGACAATATTGCCCTCGCGTGGTTCGGCAAATTCTCTGGTTCAGCACTGGTCAGTTTCCCAGGGTGCTAGACTAGAGAGGTTCAATCTGTACATGATGTATTTAGTGTTCTGTAGTTTCTGCCTTAGTGTATTTGAGGATTATTTTAAACCATATAGTTATTTGTAGCTCACAAAAGCTGATGAGCTAATACCCACCAGAATCCTTGTTGTTTTTTAGATTAATTATGTAACATTGGAATCACTGTGTTTTGTTTTTTATTTTGTTTTTAGCCATGATGAAGATGAAATTCGGCCAGTGCAACAGCAAGATCTTCACAAGGCAATTGAGAAGATGAGGAAGTCAAAAGATGCAACGCTTCAGAATGTTTTGATGCATGTTAGTTTAGACTAAGACTAAACAGTGTGTTTCCAGTTTCTGATGTGGCCTAGTTGACTTGTGCTGTAATCAGTTGAAAAAGGAATGTGGGAGAGGGAAATTCTTTCAATAAGGGAGTTAAATGTTTCATTTCTAGAGGATTTTTATACACTGAATTCTAAGTTATTGAAATCTGATAATCTTAAAGAAATAGTTGTGGTCTACAGATCATGAAGTGGATCAATATAGTCCAGTCCCAGAGTAAATGCTTGTGATTTGTCCAATTACCAATATGTCGTAGCAGCCTTAAAGCAGAGTCTAATGTGATGCATGTTTTGAAGAGCAACGAGACATGGAAATAATTGAATTCCAATTCATGTACATACGTACAAACGTGTGTGTTTATATTAAATGTATATATCCACACTTTTATATATAGACATAATCTGTAGATAATTGAATATGGAAACTTTTTTTATTTACTGAATGAAACTAAATCAGAAGATGTATAGATTTAAAAAAAAACTGTTCAGTGCACATTTACCTTTTTTTTTTTTTAAAGCAACTCCTGGAAAAGGCAGAAATTCTGCTGGAATTGAGATTTTATTTACCATTTTGAAGTATTGGTAACTTTCACATTAATGTTTGAAGTCCACATTCAGTAGAAGTAGCAAGTGAATACATAAATGAATATTTTTTATTTTATATGAAATTCTGCTATTTGGCTTTTTTTGGTTGTTAATGCTGTTTTTACATCTTTCCTCTGAGTTGAATAAATAACTACAGTAGAACTTTGCTATCTGGTCTTTCATTAAACCCTCCATGTTATAATTCCCTAAAATTATCCCTCTGATTTATTTAACATTAGTCACAGGTTACATTATGACTTCATTTTTTTGAGAATATATATGGCAACATATTTACACAGTGCTAAGAATTATCACAAGTTTTATTTCAACATGGAGGGGAAAATATCTTTTGTGGTGTTTTGCTCAGTTTCTTCCTGTACTAATTTGAAAAGCTGAGAGTCTATCTGGGTCATAGCAATGTTCTACTGTATTTGTTGGCAACAGTTGAACAAATTTATATAATCTTTAAAATAAGAGATTGATAATGTAAGATGTAAATCTTTTCCAAACTTAATATTGTTTTATTATATAACTTTATTTTTTAAAGAACTATGAATTATGCTCTAATCAAATGCATATATACTTCCTAACCTAAATGCCAGGAATATTCAGACCAAAGTATCTTATGTACAGGCAGCATGTGCTAATAAGAAGGTTAAATAAGCATTGAAAAGCAAGTTAAAAATAAGATGAACTTTGAAGCAGCCATCCTAGCATATAAAATGGAAATTCTATCAAGTTTATAACCACTGTATTAGAATATGTAAAAAGTCCCTTTTTCTGAGAACTTCTTCAGTTAACTGTTTATCAGCTGTTGAAAAGATGTTGCTTTGACTCAGCAACTTGTCTTCCCACACCCTCTCTCATAAAGATTACCTTGTTCCTACCAAATGTTGGTTTCCTTTTTGATACTGACAGCTCCAAGTTAAATATACATACCTTTCAGTTGTAGTGGAAAAGTGAAATGAGATTATGCCACAGTAAAGACCACTAATTGGAGATATTTGACATTTTAATCCCAAATATTTCAACTATAGAAAAGTCTAACAAATTGTAATTGAGGAGACTCCAATATCATACAGGATTGTAGCCTTTTAAAAGAAGGAAAATAACAGTCCTTGGAAAATAACAGAACCAGCAAGAAAGAACTTATAAATAGCTGGAGGAAAAGAAGCAAGGATTTATCAGGAACAAATGACAAGCAAATTTAGTTCTTGAATATTTATGAAATTTGAGGAAAATTCAGCAAAGGTTCTAGTAAAGCCTTAGGTACTGTTCTCCCACCATCATCTTGCATGCAGTAGCACTCAGCATATTAAAATTAACTTCTATGTTTTATAATCAGTTTAAATTGCATGTATTATCACCACCTATTGCTAAATGTAGATAGGAAAAGTCAGTATGTAAGTTTATACATAAGCAATCCATTTTAGCAAAGTGCTTAAGTACCGACTTAGCCTTAAATCTTAGAATAGTCTAATTGAAATCAATGGGACTGCTCATTTTTATATGCTTTTGCTGAACCAGAGCCTTTCAGACCCAATGGTCTCCTTCCTCTCTCTCTCCAAACATCATACTACCTTTTCTGTGTGGTGAATCATATGTGTTTGATTTCATTTACATCTCTTCCTATTCTAGTCAGCAATGATTTAAGCTGCAGTAGTCTGGGCAAAAAGGCTGATCAAATGATCCAGTTTGGGAGGAAATCCTGCTGATATCTACTCATGTGGTCCTTGCTGTTCAGTGAAGGATAGATTAATATCAGTGGTTTTCAACCTTTGTTCCATTTGCTGACCCCCTGAAATCTCAAATGGTAATACAGACTCCTTTGGAAACCTTAGACTTAACTTGTTGACCTTGTGGGCCTCATGGACCATAGGGTCAGACACCTTGATACAGATTTCTGAAGAACACCACTTGACTTGCCCTTCTGCTATTTAAGACTCTCTTTCAGAGCAAGCTTGAAGTTCAACTTTTTCCTTCAGTGCATGGAAGTACAAATAGGGACAATTCACCCACACTTGATATACGAATAAGCAGGGGATCATGGTGCCTGAAGTGTTATCAACAAAACTCACATAGCGGGACTTCTGAAAATTTGGTCTACGTGGTGCTGACTGGTACTTCATCATCTGGCCTTGAGTGATGATAGGATTATGAGCACCACTGTAGGACTCGGGTCTGTATTTTTTTTGGCCAGAGATAGTATTTTGCGTTGTGCTTTCCTGCTTGATTTTTTTGACACACATACATTCTTATGAAACAAAATACAGGACTTCGGCTACACCAGACTAACACAGCTACATTTCTATCACTATTATACATTCTTATGAGTGTGTATGAACAAAGCACAAGCAGACTGTGCATGCTGCCTCTAGAGAGCCAGATGGGCTTGTTGGTATAATGAGAACAGATGAGCAATTAAAATGGTACTGGGCACAGTGGCAATATAATACATCAGTGCACGCTTGCAGACTGCCTCAACTCCTCTCTCAAGGCAAGGTCAAGCAAGCAGTCAGGAAGGGCAAAGGGGTTGGGGGAAGGTATACAACACAAAAAAAGAAATAGCTCGCTCTCCCCGCCTCCCCTCCCCCCCATACGAAAAGTGGGCCAAAGATCCCAAACCCATAATCAAAGTTCCCTCTAATTTTTCCATCCATGTCCAGAATAAATTTTATGTGCACTGAGGCATAGTTGGATGTGCACCACCACTAGAAACACATGCTGCTGGCTGTGGGCACTCTGCTAATCAGCTGGGTAGAATTTCAATCTCTCCTGGGTGGCCACCTGAATGCACAGTTTACAAGGAACATTAGCTACATTCCAACCCCCCTAAAAATGGAACATGACCATAATTTATAAAGGAATAGGACAAAGGGCATGCATTTGAGGTATTATTATGTTTGCTAAGGAGTGAAAAATGAGACATGGGGAAACAAGACTGTGGCATCAAGAATTATGAGAGACATGCTTGCTGGCATTTTGGCCTGCTTTGTCTGCATGTCAAGAAGTAGAAGAGAGGGTGAAGGGAAAGCCTTCAAACAAGAAAGTTGACATTGCATTTCTCAATGAGCTAGACTGGAAGCCCTGTGTGACTGGGTGGGATTTTTCCCCACCAAGGTCTGAGGGAAAATGCCACATAGAATTGCTGCACTCAGCAGCTCCTTGTCTTTTCATGCCTGCAGTGGAATTGTGAGATTAGAGCTTCCTCTTGTGTGCCCATGAATAATGATGTTCTTGCAACCACATTCAGCCTTCATTAGGTGTGGGTAAGTGCTTGCAACTGGTCAGTTTATTCCATAGGATAGAGATACTTTTGTATTCCTCACTACCTCTAAACATATACCAGCATCTGCGCATAATGCTTTCTACCATACCTGGTCGGCCAGGAGAATCTGTTCTCTCCTGGGTAGCAGGGATGCTAGCAAATGTTTATTTTTGTAAACATGTAATTGCTGAGGCAGCAGTGAGGGGGGAGGTGGCTCCCCAGAGCCAGTACGTGCAGATGGCTTGAAAGCCAGCTTCCCACATGTCCTGCATGCCTCCGCTGCTGCTGCCTATCAAGCTGGCGCCTCACAAGCACCAGCTCCTGCCTGCCCTCCCCCTGCATTTCTGCCTTTGTGCAAAACAGTGAGAGGTGGTGGGTAGGCAGCTCCATGGGAGCCAGCATGTGCAGGAAGCTGGCTCCCCACGGGCACCAGCTCCTGCCTCCTCCCTTCCCTCCCCCACCTTGCTGCCTCTAATACAAGGTATGTGTAGTCATCAGGATTAATCGATAAGTCCAGGCTAACATCTCTACTGGGCAGATGTTGGCCTTGACTCAGTTATATGCACTGTCATCACTTCCTCTTTGGGTTACAGCAATATATTACAGCTGGTGATGAGGCCCTTGGGAAACTCTAACTAGCACACACTGCTGCAGAGTAACTCATTAATGCTGGCTCCCATAAGCCTATGACACCTGGCCTCTGCTCTCCTCTCATAAAATACTAAGTTCAAGGTTTTCGTCCTTATCTTCAGTTTGCTCACAGTGGCTTGGCCCTCAATATTTAAAGGTGCAAGAAGCTTCAGGAGTACTGTAGTCTACATCTGTGCCTTAGCCAGCTCATGCACACAAGAGACAACTTTCTCAGGGGCCCATCCTAGACTGGAATGAATTCTCATAAATACTAAAGCTTCAGAGGAGTAGCCGAGTTAGTCTGTAACAGGAAAAACAACAAATAGGCAAGTAGCTAAATAGTCTAAATACTAAAGACTATCACAAACCTCACCACCTTCTGCTCTAAGTTCAAGGTGCACCACTTCACATGACCATTTTTGACCTGCCCCTTCTGACACACACAGCAATATGTGTATATTAAAAACAGTAAAAAGTTAAAACTCCTTTAACACTATGCAGCACACACAATTCTGCCTAACTGCTTGGTAAAGGATGAGAGTGAGAACAAACCATAGGTGACAGATATTGGTTACATTATTTAATGTAGCACAGGAAGGTGCTTAGAACAGCGAGGGAGTTGGCACAAGACCCTCACTAGAATCCCACTTACTTGATTGCTTCAAATTGGTGGTAGCAATTTTTTCACACTAACCATTTCTACATGAGTGGGACTAAGAATTCCACTGCTCCATTTTATTCCTGCTTTACAGAGATGTAGGTGCTTGGGGTAGAGGCTGAAAACTGGCAAACCATATAACCCCAAATTCTTTTTTTTATATATTGGCCGTGGGACGGATGTAGTCAGTGTGGCCTATGTAAGAGGTATTTTGTGAGTAAAATGCCTGCATAACTATGTTAATCTTCATGTTGGAACCATGCTATAAGAGTAACAAGCAGGATAGTGTAGGAAACTGTTACAGAACTATCTGCTGGCATTGATCCAGTAAGATTTTAGCATTGTTTCAGTCTGTGGCTACTCTCCCATGCTTGCCAAACACCCTAGTACTTAGAAGGCTGGGAGTTGCAGAGAACCCATGTAAATTGAATGCTGACTGTCTGCATTACCTTACGGGATGTGAATATATTTCAGAAAGCCATTGGGTCCTTATCCCTCTGAGTTTAGTATTGAATAAAAGATTATAAAAAAATCCACAGAATGCAAATATTTATACATGGAAATATATATTTGTACTAAAAGTGAATGTTTAATAACAGAGTATCAACATTAAGAATATATTATGAATCACGAGACACATCAGTCAAGGCACAAATTCCAGTCTCTTGTCTTTAATAAATAGACTACAAAAATATTAATGAATGAACTCTAGTCAGAAGTAATCATTATTCTAAACTATGTAAAGGAATAATACATTTATGTTTTGCTGTAACCATTTGGGTGTACTGCTTTTTCATACGCTACTTCATTGTTTTATGGTTAAAAATGCAATACCGCTATTTAAAATATAAAATATTTATTATAAGTCACAGTATTAATTTTGTCATTCAGATCCCTGCCAGAGGGCCTGAATATAAAAGGCACTTTTCATATATTTTTAGCTTCTAGTATTACATTTGTCACATTTAATTTCTTCAGACAAATACAACTTTTGGTTCCTTACTCTAGATTTTTAAAAGCAATATGGATCTGGAAACATTTGACAAGTAAAAGTCTTTAAAATAACATTTTGAATTGCTTTCTTAATTATGTACATTGCTCAATGGCTACAGCAAAACAATTTCATTTGATTTATATACTTTACTAAACTAAATTACAAGCAGAAGCATGATTGTTTTACTATGAGTAGATCTTATAATTCAAACTGCAAAATGAGAAGAATGATATTAATTTCATTTTCAATGTCTTTTGACCAGTTTTAGGATACCCATTGAGTAGTCTGACAAGCATATATGATCACAGACTGAAATAATTTATATTAATTTCCATAATAACTGTGTATCCATTCTCTAGAAAATGAATAATACAATATCATGTTCATAGAGGAAACAAGATCCTACAAATCTCCAGTGAATACCAACCATTACTTCAGCAGTTCTCATAAGCTTTCTTCTTCCTAAAAGCCCATGAAAGTAACTAAGTTTTGGATACTGTTCTAAGCTTTGGATTTATTTCATCCACTAGGAAAGCAGTGAATTAAGAAGCCTAAGGTCCCATTAGGGTTACCAGGTAGTCATAAAAAAATACCGGACACACTTCATTGGGGTGGGAGGGACCGGCCGGGAGGGAAGCAGGGCTAGCCGAGCTTTCTTCTTCCTAAAAGCCCATGAAAGTAACTAAGTTTTGGATACTGTTCTAAGCTTTGGATTTATTTCATCCACTAGGAAAGCAGTGAATTAAGAAGCCTAAGGTCCCATTAGGGTTACCAGGTAGTCATAAAAAAATACCGGACACACTTCATTGGGGTGGGAGGGACCGGCCGGGAGGGAAGCAGGGCTAGCCGG